GCCGCATGGGTATATAGTATAGTTTCACTTAATTTGATAAACACAGAGTTTGAATTTGTTAATATGTAACTGTACGATTTTACAACTGTAACTTTTCATTATTGAACAATAAAACAAATATAAATAAATAAAAAATGCATCTTCAGATCAGTGGCACTGGCATGAGCACCGACATGGTTCCACAGTAGGCCAACTTCTTCAAGGCTGACTTAGAACACCACTTTCTCAGCTTCTTCCAGAGTAGCTCTTCCATCAGAGATAAAAACATTACATTGAATCATCCGGAATAATGGACAGAAAGCATCTGTGCTATTCTAGCAGGACTTCACCAAGTTCAACCTTACACTGCTAAGCATACTTACAGGCTTTGTACTTCTGCCCAAAAAAACACCACAAAATCCACAGGACCACAGCAAAGATCTAAGATGAAGCCACATTAGGTTTGGACAGAGACTGACAACCAAAAATATTGACATCTGGCCTTCCTTAGACTACAATTACTCACCCAAAAGAGTGAAAACACAGATCAACAAGGCCAGATTGGTAACCAGGAATTATCTACCATAGGAAAGACATAGAAGCAGCTGTCGACACCTACAGCTCCCAGGTAAAAGCTTTTGTGTATCATCAATTATCTACAGCCCATATGGGGAAAATGACACAAACTGAATTAGGCTGAAGATGCTTAGAAGCTACTGTGCAACTGGAAGTACTGCCTGATTAGTGTGTAACAAAACTAAGGCTTCCCTATTAACAAAAAGAAAGATATTCCTATAAAGCTATTCTATATCAAGGAAACACCCCCCCTCCAAAGTCTACACAACAGTGTGATGTGACAGAAACAGCAGCACTAAGAAAAAACTTGGATGTGATAGCATATGTGATGCAACAGTCAAGATGATCCTCCGGATTATGAACTTCAGCTACAGAAAGGGCTGTTCTGCTTTTATAAATTATAGAAGGGGGAGAGGGAAGAGACAGTGGTAGGAAGAATCTCGAGTACTTTCACTCCTTTAAATTGAAGCTGCCAAGAGTCATCTAGGGAGAAAATGTCAGACAGACAAGATGGAATGAAGCTTTGAACAATACAATCAAAATCACAAGAATACTTGAGAAGGGAGAGGATAACTCTAAACCCCAGACTTGTTATTCCACTGATGAAATGCAAGCCCAAAATCAAATTAGCTTCCCATTCTTCCTGCTGTGCCAAGAGGCTTATGCCAAGCAAAATTGTAAGTTGCTATAAAACAGAACTAGGCTATGGAATAAAAGGATGGGATTCATCAGTATTTAGGATCACTGCCTCAAACAAACAATAATGTACATGGAATCTTTTTGTTGCAAGATTGTGTTTAGAAGCTTTCTAGGCCACACTTAATTTTGGCAACAAACCCCCATTACAATATCCTTTCTTTCAGCAAAAAAATTCTCCCAATTTTGCTTTTACAATAATGGCCATTTGGGAACATTACTGCCAACATTTTGGCCCCTCTTCTAAGCTTACTCGACCTTATGCAATCTCCACCGCAATCCAGCACCACCTATCTATTCAGGAGGTGGTCACAGAGATCCTTGCATACAGCAGAGTAACGGTAGCTTGCTGCTGAGGAAGCAAATCTGGGTAAGTAGATATGTATTAGTTTCTTTTTCATGTTATCTGCCTTCTGCTCAATCTGCCACCTACAACTCTCTTGCCTTGCTTCAGCCTCAGTGACACCATATAAGGACCACACTTGATTGCATTAAAAAAAAACCTCAATACCCCATAGTTCAAAGAGGAGGGAGGAGGAAGAAACATTGCATGTCTGGTTATTCCAGCCACCAACCCAGAAGACATGAAATTAGTTGCTCTCTTCAGCCACTTGGGATTTCCTGTTTCACTCCCACTCTTGCTCTGGACAAGGGCTCAGGGTTAGCAAGACTACGGGGATAAGGCAGAAGACAAGAAACCACTTATCTTGGGAGCAGTAGCAGGACATTGCTTCTTGGACAATGAGGCTCAGATCATTTTCAGACCTTAACAAACACTTAGTTTGTGTATATATGCTCATACTTTGCCTTTTATTAAAAGTTTACATGTGGAGACATACAAAGACATCTCTATTGGGGAGGGGATTTGTTTGGGATATTTTTTCCCAGATTAATGTGGTTACTTAGGAGCACAACCAAGCGTGCTTGTGCACCTGTATATAGTTATACTCAGATTTATATACTACATTTTCCATGTCATTAGCTGCTGAATGTTTTAACTTTCCGTTTACGAGTGAGATTTTTATTCCAGTGCTCACCTTTACAGCTACTTACAGACTTAAACCATTAAACAATGTTCAGCTCCCTTAATTGGGAAATGCATGTAACCCAATATTAAACTAATCAACACTTACTATGCCTCTAACAAACTATATGAAATAAAATTTAGACACATTAAAATAATAAGCTAGTTGAGAATGCCCGAGTCTATTTGGCTAATTGGGCAAGACAGTTGGATATTTAATAACCACATATTAGGTTGCAACAACCAAGACTAACAGTTCAGATTTGTCCTACATGCCATCTTTCAGAAATATTCAAATGCTTGGAAATGCAATACATCTCCCCACTACCTTGTTTCGTTTTCTAGTGAACCACTGACCACCACCATTAAAGCAAAATACTTGCTGCAAGTATGAAGATTTAATCTGTACAGAATCTGAATAGTTTACTTCCCGGAGACTGCATTATTTTAATTAATATTGTATTTGAAATAATAATTGCCAGTCTTCTTTTTGGAAATGATCAGGAGCTCTCACTTTCAATAGAAAGCCTCAAGAGGCGGCTAATATAACTCGTCTCATGAACAGACCAGTCTTGCCAATTAGTAGGCATCTTCAGTCTAATGCTGGGGTGTCAGGAAAGCATGGGAAATGACAGAAATGGAGTTGTTTGGAGAAAGATTAATTCAGAGTGAATCAACAGAAAACTACAGAAAACTAAAATAATCCTCCTATCCCTTGAGCCCACCTTTTCCCATATTAATCTACCTATGCACTTGGGCTATTTCTGGAGGTCCTATTTTGTATCCTACTTCCCCACTCCCAGACATGAGCAGAATGGATGCAGAGGATGAAGCCTTGACTGTAATGGTGCCTAGATTGAGAGATTCTTTTCTGAAAGGGGGAAGGGTTTGCTAGGTTTCACAGGGAAACACACAGAAATGAAAGCATCCAAAAATGTGAACAAAAAAGGGGAATTGTTTCTCAGAGATGCTGGAAAGAATGGTAGCTTATTGTTATATTAGCCCAACGCGTTTCAGCTCCAACGAGCTGTTTCTTGTGTTTTAATGACCTTCCAGGGCAAAGCTCCTATGGAATCTCCCTGCCTTTAAAACTGATGGCTTCTGAGCCACTGATAAAGAAACAAATGAGATAGACCCCCGAAGAAGCCTTATTCCGAGCCAAAACGCTTTAGGTTTCAGATGACAAGCTTAAGATTTTTATTTGATGACAAATCCAATAATTAACATTTCCATACTTAATTCTTTTTTATTGCTGACACAGATTTGTTGTTTAGGCATATAGTTTACTGCCTTTTTGTATACAGTGGTACCTTGGTTTGTAAACAGTCTGGTTTGCATATGTTTTGGATTACAAACGCGTCAAACCCGGAAGTACGTGTCCCAGTTTGCAAACTTTTTTTGGATTACAACCCATTTTTTTGGATTATGAACAAAAAATTTTGGGACACCCCATTGGCAAAAGCGTGCCTTGGGTTATAACCTGTTTTGGTTTACAAATGGACCTCCGGAACAGATTATGGTTGTAAACCAAGGTACCATTGTATTTTAATTGTTTTTTACATGTTGTTTAGCATATTGCTTAGCTGTGTTGAAAATTATGTCCGGGTGGTGGTTCAGACATTTCAAATAAAATGAAATGTCAATGACACAAGATTTTTGGTGAGCCTTCTTTGGAATATATAGCTCTCCTATATGCAGCCATGAAAGAGAGCTCATTTTTAACAGTGTACTCATAATATATGTGGGGCATATATAGGGTTGTCATATTTCGAATAGAGAAAAAGAGGACGCTATGACGACTCTCGTTTTAAATACCCCTACTATATGTAGACTACAGAAGCTGTGATATATTGCTGGGGGGGGGGCAGGAGAAGAGTAGAGGAAAGCAAGCCTTCAACCACCAGTTATGTCTATGTCTCATGCAGAAAGACATTTTGGCAAATTAAAAAAATCCACCCAGAAAGAAATTTTATCCCAGAAAGAGGACGTGTCCTGGAAAAAGAGGATACATGGCAACCCTAAGTCCAAGCTATCTGTTGCTGAGATATATTTGTGTCATCAACTGGCAAGTGCCAAGCAATTAATATATACATCAATTTTGAGAATTGGGGCTGTTTTTGTTTTTTTGAAATGTAGTGCTATCAACATACATGGCACTTTACAGAGTAATATAAACCAGTCCAGTTTGTAATCTAAATTTTGAAAGTAGGGGAAGGAAAGGCCAGAGTAAACGAGGGAGATACAAAGAAGCGTACTTGAGAAATTTAGGCTTCCTTTAAATTTAGGATTAGGGGTTAAGGCCAAAAGCTCCAGACCTCAAAAGGGGCTTGTTGTTAAAGAACGGATCACTGTATTTTGTTAGAAACATTTTCTGTGCTGCTCTAAACCCTCTTCTCATAATCTGTTTGCCGTCTTGGTAGCTGCAGCACATGGAGGTGACATCTCCAAGGACTTGCTGAACCATGATGAGGGCAAAATCATATGGGTGTGCAGTGATCTTGAAAGAGACTCTTATTCCCTCCGCTAAATGCAGATAACCATAGGCAAACATGCTCATCAACTTTAGTTTCAAATATCTAAGGCTCCTGCACACCAAGAATGTCAAATACTCGGAAGCTCAACAGAAATTGGCCAGCTCCGTTTCTGAAATCAAGTCTACACGGGAGAGGCATGCGGCTTCAAACAGCACTGTGCTCCATAATGAGGGCTCAAAGCAGCAGTTCACCTGGTATGTGTCCCAAAGCCTTATGGTGCACCGCAGGGGAACTTCTCTCATCAACAAGTTATTCATCCAGCGGAAAGCAAACTGAAGGTATTTCACCTCGTGTTGCTCTAAGTGTCTGTGCACTTGCTCTGAAAGAGAAAAATTGAAATAAGTTTACCAAGAGGGCTCTACGCAGCATTAATCACAAGCAGTTTTTTTTAAACCCCCCCCCAAAAAAATAATAATTCAACATTATATAAGCAAGCAATTTCCTCCAAAGAGGCCTAAATAGAAACAGCAAGTAAATTTTACACCAGCATTGTAGATGACATTCAAAAGGATCTATTGACAGGTTCAGTGATGAATATTTTTCATATATTTAAATAACTGAATGAACATCATACTGCAAGTACAGAGTTTCAATACAGCTACTTGTTTCTGGCACACTGGTTCAGTCCCAAGTTTGTCCTAGTGCTTTTCTTTTCTTTTTTAAGTATTAAATGTTAAGATGTGATTGTGTGACACTGTCAACTTGTCATTTTAGAATGTGTCAGCTGCATGAACACAGGATGGAACTGTAGCTTAAAAACCAAGCCGTGAATATATTATCTTTTTTTTAAAAAAAAAATCTCATTAAAAGGCAGAATTTCTTTTTCTTTTCACTGCATGCACACTACTAAAAACAAGCTATGGGGAGTTAAGAGTTACTTATGATTCATGTGAACATGTGTGTTTTAAAATTAAAGCAGCATCGAGTATCCTCCTTAAAATAAATATTCCAAGTAAATGAATAAATAAATATAACGAGCAATCTGACAACCAAAATTTCTGGTAGATCTGTGACTGAATGGTGGTGAGGCCCAAGGAGATTTGGCCTCTTGACGAATCGGTACTACAATTTACCCCTACATTGCTTCTCAATGAGTTTCCCCTTCCCCTCCTAAATTTTCAAGACAGCAGTGGGTAACCTCCGAACTGCATGCCCATTTAGGTTTGGCATGGTTTCTAATTTGGCCTATGAGGCCGTTTTCCCCAAGCTACACCCACCTGCTACAAACCTGATGTCAGATATGAGATTAGTCGAGACCCAGCTGCACAGAAAGCATTGGGAACCTTGCAGAGCATTCTTGATTGTTTCTTGGCGAGCAGGGCTTGCATTTGACACCTCTTAAACGTGGCGCCAGATGCAAGTCTCATGAGGATCAATTCCCTATCAGAGCTTCTGAGTGTAGCTGGTCCTTGATGGAGCTGGGTTTTGCGGACAGTGGCAATGAGATGATCAGCAATGGCTGCAAAGTCCACTTTGCCAGGGATTTTCCTTTGTAGACCCTCCCATCAAAGTGGACCACTAGGCTTAGCAGAGAAAGAGCGCCCCTTACCCTTGGTGTGCCAGCACTTCTAAGAAGAAAGGCAAGACAAAAATAACACACACACTAAGAAGGGGTTCCCCACGTTCTATATGAAGCACAGAAGCCAGGGATTTTATCTTAAATTTCTAACATGCACAGCACCTTCTCTACAAAGAAATTGTATAGTGGTGAGAGAGAAGAACCACTACCTTTCTCCCCACATGCAACCCTTACATGTTATCATAGGTGCCAACTCCCTGGGTGCCTGAGCACTCACAAAATTCCCCATGAAGGGACCAGGAACCCACAAATTTTGGTGCCACGGCTATGTACGCTGCATGGCACCCACGGCTCTGGGCACCCACAGTTGCGAGGCCATGTTGACACTCCTGCATGTTATAGGGCATAAAACTACATGCAGCAAGTCTTGAATGTGTACCTGCCAATACTGATAGAACTGCACTTATCTCAGAGGACTCAGAAAGGCCATTGTCCAATCAACAACTGCTGCTCAAAGCTACGAATGAGAAAAGCCTACATTTGCCCTTAGCAAATACAGTGGTGCCTCGCAAGACGAAATTAATCCGTTCCGCGAGTCTCTTCGTCTTGCAGTTTTTTCGTCTTGCGAAGCATGGCTATTAGCGGCTTAGCGGCTATTAGCGGCTTAGCGGCTATTAGCGGCTTAGCGGCTATTAACGGCTTAGCGGCTTTAAGAAAAAGGAAACAAACTCGCAAGAACTCGCAAGACGTTTTCGTCTTGCGAAGCAAGCCCATAGGGAAATTCATCTTGCGAAGCACCTCAAAAAACGAAAAACCCTTTCGTCTAGTGAGTTTTTCGTCTTGCGAGGCATTCGTCTTGCAGGGCAACACTGTATGGTAGGAAATGCAAAGCAGTGAGATACGGCGGAGCATTTAACTTGCTTAAGAATGTGTCATAGGCAGGCGCAAATACTGTAGGTTGACAAATTTGCTGCATCACTTTAGATTTAGAAGTTATTTCAAGCTAATTGAAGCATTTACTCAGAGGTAAATGCAGCAGCTACTCATAAATAGTAGATTCCACAGCCGCTACATATTTACTTCGAATTATTGGAAAGCCTTTGAAAATAATGAAAAGCTACAAACTTGGGCAACATATTTCAACTCACTTAAAAAAATATATACAAATTTAAGCATACTGAATTTCCTGTGGGCTTGCCTCTATTTCTCCCTAACATGTTGAAAAATGGACCACTAAGTGCAAAGCTTTATTTGCAATTTATTTTATAATATATTCAGAGACAAAACGAAAATGCACAGGCTGAAAAGATTCATTCCTCCTTTTTTATAAGTAATTGTGAACAGATGTTATTTCACCGATAAAGGTAATTTGGCTGACAATAATTCCAAATTTAAATTTTCCATTTCACTGATAGTAAGCATGCAGATGTAATGAATGACTCGGCAGATGTAATTATTGCCATCTTTCAGACTTAAAAGTATTTTTTCCATAAAATACTTATACAGCAGTTTGCGATAATAAAATTATGCTAAATCTTCAAGAAATAATAGTTCTTGTATCAAAAGAAATAAGGGGGGAATTTGTTTAACAGTCTTCTCAGCACTTTTAAAAAAACTTATAGTAACCTATTGAAAATGTGCTGATGAAGGTCCTTCCATTAAAAAAAAAAGTTGCGCATGCATATTTTATACCATGGATTTATGTGGATTTATGTGTGTTCAGGCTTATTAAATAACATGTTTATGCAAAATGCACTGTGTGTTGGTACCAAGAAGCATAATCATTTCATACTCCATTCTTAAGTAGAATATAAAGAAATAGTGTTTGCTAAAAATGACACCCTGCTTCCAGATGCTAAGAAAGTTTCTTTCATTATATCAGATGCTTCTCTAAATTCCCATCTTTGCCAAGTGCCTAGCTGCCTCAGATTTTGTAATTCAGCAATTTTGGTACAGGCTGAAGTCTAGCTGAATACCCGCTGTTTGCCTTCCTATCGCTACACCTAGACTTCATGCAATCCTACTATCAGAGGATATCTAGGAGAAGAGACAAGCTGCCCATTAAGAAAGCCAGCCTTAACAACTAGCAGGATGATCCGGACAGTGAAGCTACTCGGGGAGGAGAGTCCACATTGCAAGGGTGGGTCATTTGTATAGTCATTAGACGCATCTGTAACTGGCCAGTTGACATGCATCCAGTACTGTAACACTCATTTGCAGTAGTGGATGTTGTGCTGGGGTAGCAAGACTCATCTGACCTTCAGCTGATTGTGTTGCTGCTGCCTACTGGGAGCTATAAGGGTAGGGCCAAAGCGGCAGCAAGTTTGGCAAGGTACAAGAGAACCAGAGTTTGGCACTGGCAAGATAACCAGATTGGTTACACCAGTGTGTTTACAACATGTAGACCTTGCCTTTCTCCCTCTATCCCCCAATAAGCACCAGCATCACAGCTGACCAGAGTTCAGGTGAGCACTGCCACCCCACCCCATCATCAACTACTGAATGTAATAATAATAATAATAATAATAATAATAATAATAATAATAATAATAATACCCTGTTCATCTGGCTGGGTTTCCCAAGCCACTCTGGGTGGCTTCCAGCAAAATATAAAAACATAATAAAACATCAAACCTTTAAAGCTCGGGTTGTGAACGCGATCCATGCGGGATGCACATTCGCAATCTGCAGCAGCGCATCTGCGCATGTGCGGGTTGCAATTTGGAACTTCTGCGCATGGGCAACCCCCAAAATCCAGAAGTAACCCATTCCGGTAGTTCCAGGTTTCGGCAGGTCCGTAACCCAAAAAAACGCAACCTGAAGCGTCTGTAATCCGAGGTACAGGGCTGCCTTCAGATGTCTTCTAAAAGTTGTGCAGTTCTTCATCTCTTTGGCATCTGATGGGAGGGTGTTCCACAGGGAAAGCACCACTGCCAAGAAGATCTTCTGCCTGGTTCCCTGTAACTTTGCTTCTCGCAGTGAGGGAACCAACAGAAGACCCTTGGAGGTGGACCTCAGTGTGCAGTCAGAACGATGGGAGTGGAGACACTCCTTCAAGCATACTGGGCCAAGGCAGTTTAGGGCTTTTAAGGCCAGCATCAACACTTTGAATTGTGCTAGGGAACCCTCCTATTGATAGTCTTTGTCTTCCTCTCCTTACAAAGATCTACAGTCATGAGACAGTCCTACTTGTTTACCCCTGACACTCCAGAAAGCCCTTTTTGGTCATCACCACGGAAAATAAAGGTTTCCTAGCTTAACCTTTCTCCAAAAGTCCATTATGACTTAAAATATGGTACTACTAGACAAAAAGAAAAGAAAAAAGTCATTCCAGTTCAACCTCAAATAAGTTCCGTTCGTGCTGAACTTCCCCAAAAGACAAAGTTATTTTCAATCGATACAATTGTTTAATGAGGCAGTAAAATCTACTGGTAAGACACTGAACCGCTGAGTTCCATAAAACATGCAGAAATATCACACAGCATAAGGTTGGGAAAAGGGCTTGCTATTTCATACAAGAATCTGAATTTAGTTCTAGCGCTGTAAAACTGAGCCTCTAAATCATCCAACTTTAAAACACCTTAGAAAAGTAATTAAAATTGTTTTTCCTGTAATGCTTGGCATGCGATTTAAAACAGCTTTACTGAATTACTGTAATCACATTTCTTATAAATATTGTAAAATAACAAATCCTTTGAAATTGAAAGCTTAATCCACAGAGTTGGAAAACAATTCCCTTAGAAGATGAGAAGAACAGGTTATTCTGAAGATCCTACATTTATTATAATACATATGTGGTCCTCACAATAT